TAGTGCTCCTAATGACATTTGCAATAATCCACCAAGCCTGAATGAAAACAACCGATCAGAGCAGAGAAAGATAGAAAGAGGCTTTGGGTTGTTGGCTTGAAGCTGATTGTTGAGTCTCATTCCCAGCGTCGATATTTGACGACCTGTGAATGGAAAATTGGTTATTTTTGTTTAGGCGGGGTGGATTCTTCCAGATGCCACTAGGAGCACTACGAAGTACAACTAACTCAATTTTGTAGTTATCTTAAGTGACACTTTTAGTTATCTTAAGTGACACTGACTTCATTTTGTAAATTGTATATTATATATTAGAATATATTTAAATACAGTATATATTTTCACAGATCATCTGTCTGATGTTCTACTGTCAGGAAATAGTGAACGTTTCAGCAAATATGACAAAAAGTAACAACAGCTTTAACTGGTAAAAGAAAATAAGATAAAATGACACCCTTTCAATAATGTTTTTGGTAATGTGTAGGCAAGTAAATACAGATCAAAACCTTTAGGCAGAAGTAACTGATACTAGTTGATACTTTATCGTGTCATGCAAAAAGTGAAGGAGCACAAAGTGAAACAGAAACACACACACACACATTGTGAGGAACACGCCCTTTTGGCGGAGTGTGTGCAGGGTGACATTTCTCAAATGTTCTTCTCTCTGTGGAAAAAAACAGTGCCGCCTCCAATTGCAGACCACATTTTTTTCTTTTTCAAGTCACAGTAAACACCCAGCTGAAGCAGGTAGCTACACACCTAAGTAAGTCAAGTAAAGGTAAAAACAAATGTTTGTTATGTCCGTCACTAGATGTCACTGCGCGCCGTTTGTTGGGAAGCAACAACACTGACAGGCGATGGATCCATCACACACAAACCGTATAGACTGTAGTACTAAACACAAATATTTAAGAACGATCACCATATTAAGTGCTGTAGGATATTGTCGGCTTGTATTAAATTTTAGGTTATATGGGCGAAATCATTGGGTTGTCCTGCTGTGCATATTTCAAAACACATATGTTCATTAGGGCCAAACTGCCATGCCTTTATCAATTAGACCCTTATTTATTGTTGTGTAAATAATGTTTCAGCAGCATTTCCCAATCAAAATGACTTTGTTTGACGTCAGAGTTGAATGCGGTCGGTGATGCTCTGATGCTGCCTTCAAGTGATCCTCGTAAGCTCCAAAATTTTGAATGTATACAACTTGCCCTGCAGGTACGCGCCTTTTAGTCAGACGATAATAAAATATAGTTTAATGACAATTGTGTCTTTCTGTTGTTGGTTCTGAAAAAAAATCCAGTCCACCTTAAAATAAATGTAATAGGAAAAGCTTGGCTTCGTATAGTATGATATCATGAATCGATTAAACGTTTGTAATTTCTTGAACAGTGGAAATCATTTTCGAACACGTCTATGGTGTCCTATGGTAATCCCGGCAAAAGTGGGATCGTTGTGGAATTTTCGACACCTTTGTCAGCCCGTGAAGGCAGCATCACAGCCCCACCGCCTCGGCTGGGAGGATACAACGACCAGGCTGCCGTTGCCAACGATGCAATGCCTCGTTTTACGGATGAACCCTGGGCATAGGCACCTTCCGAGTGCCGCGGTCACCTCAAAGAGGCGGTACCACCCTCGTCTTCTGTGATAATCTGCGACAAGCTTCAGTAGAGAGCACCGAAGGACCCAAGGTACCCGGCAGAGACCGGACTCGGGGCTTTATGTTTACCGTAGAGAAGCTGGAGAGCTGAGCTGAGCGAGCCGTAGTAACTTTAGCTTGCTACATGCTAACTACGGCTAGCTGTGTGGCATTTAAAGCAGCACCTGTGTACCTGTGAACGCAGCGCTCTGTGGCACGGCTAGCTCAGCGTGGTCGTGTGGAGGTTGTCGTTGGGTGGGTTCGTGAGTCAGCGGCCGAGCTTCCAGCGTTGCGGAACGAAGGCGGTTACCGTCAGTCTGCCGGGAAGCTAACGTTGGTCAATCAATGAACAACGAGCTAGCCCCTGGTAACGGCATGCTAACGCTGTAGTTGTGGGTGCTACCGCTGGGCCCGTTATGCAGCTGACTTCTGGAGCAGTCTGCCAAACTCAGCTGTGCCAGCCGAACAGCTACATATACATACATGCGACCATTGGACGGCGTTTATTCCAGTTTTCGAAAGTTTGACGGGGTTTATTGTAGCAGCACATCGGGATATATCGCCCAGCGGCAGTGCAGCAGCCACCCTGTCAAAACAAGCCCAACGCCTCCTCTGAGCATCCAGCAGGCTTTAAGTGTGGGCTTTAAGGTGCATGTTATTAACGCTCTCAGTCACTTCAATACGCTTAATGAAGTATGTTTGTTCAGTAATATGTCCTATAGTATGTCCACTCTGAGGGGGGGCTGGTACTCTTTTATGTCTCATTCAGTTTTCTGATCAGCCAATTTAATACAGTCAGTGTTGTATTGAAGCTGTAGTCATTTTGTGTGCATTTCATCACACAGGAAGCTGGAGCCATGGGTTTCTCCTTCAGCCTTCGATGAACTGAACTAAGCTGGACCCACGCGACTCAGCCCACCTGCCCCTGCCTACAGTGGGGGTCCCCCTCTCCCCATCGCCCTCTCCAGCTATGGCAGGCTTCAAGCGGGGCTATGATGGCAAGATCGCTGGCCTGTATGACCTGGACAAGACGCTGGGCCGTGGCCACTTTGCCGTCGTCAAGCTGGCGCGCCACGTCTTCACCGGGGAGAAGGTGGCGGTGAAAGTGATCGACAAGACCAAGCTGGACACCGTGGCCACAGGCCACCTTTTCCAGGAAGTCCGCTGCATGAAGCTGGTCCAGCACCCCAACATCGTCCGCCTGTATGAAGTGATAGATACTCAGACCAAGCTTTACCTCATCTTGGAGCTAGGCGATGGAGGGGATATGTTCGACTACATCATGAAACATGAAGAGGGCCTGAATGAAGAGCTGGCTAAGAAATATTTTGCCCAGATTGTCCATGCCATCTCCTACTGCCATCGGCTGCACGTGGTGCACAGGGACCTCAAGCCAGAGAATGTGGTGTTCTTTGAGAAACAAGGGCTGGTCAAGCTCACCGACTTTGGATTCAGCAACAAGTTTCAGCCGGGGAAAAAGCTGACGACCAGTTGTGGATCGCTGGCGTACTCTGCTCCGGAAATACTGCTGGGTGATGAGTATGACGCTCCAGCCGTAGGTATGCAAAACATGCAGGCTTCTGAATGATGCTAAGTGAGTCACACTGTTAATTAGAAAATGTCAGAGAGTTGCAGTGCAGTTCTAGCAGACAGGATATGAGCTCGGTTTTTGGTTTAGCCTAGTTCTGAACGTCTGGTAGTTTGACACAGGCACAGCTGTTTCTTTACTTTGTCTGATCCATTGTTTTTGGATGGACCAGACTTGCAGCCTGCGGCACCAGCTCAGTGTTCAGTCCTTAAACTCCCTCACCTCCATAAAAGCATGTCTCGATATGTCCTTTGGCAGCAGGCGACTCAGGGTATCTTTATCAAAGCCATACTGAACCTTGGATTTAGCACAGTGGTGCACTGAGGTTGGCGATGTGGCTAGCACCTGTTTCTCACATCTATGTCACACCTTGCTGTAACACCGTGGCTGTTAGTTTGCTTACAGAGCCTGGACACGTGTTCAGCATGGCCTGTTTTGTGTTTAGATAGCCACTGTCCAGAACAGCGCCCGTCCTGTGCAGCAGAATACGCAGTTTTAAATGGAGCGCTGTGTGTCCAGTAGCACTATGCCGCTAACACTACTTGACACTAATCATTTTGCAGGCTACCATAGGCCATGTGCCACAAGGTCAGCTCTACTAGTACTGATGTCCGTGGGTGTCCCATTGCACTAAATTAACTGGCTCATTGATTTTCTATGAGGGCTGACAGAGTGCAGACAGACAGATTGCGTGTCCTTCCACGACTGATATGGTATCTTTCACATCAGGTAGCTTCAGAGATGGCCAAACACAGAACCGAGTCCAGCTCTTGAATTGGATAATGGGATGCGGCCAGTTTAGCTTGTTTTTCGGACGGCGTGGGTGTTGATGTGGTGCTAACCCTGAAGCAGCCTGAAATCAGTTTGGAGATTGTTTATGCGTGTAAAAGGCTTTCAAAGGCAGGCAACTCGGTATTATTTGCTTCCCCTTTTTCAGTCACAGTTCTCACAAACTTAAGAGGTGCGGCAGAGGCAATGAGGAAACTGTGGTTACTTTCTCATGAAACTTTATATGCACACACCCACACGTACTCACTCATCCTAAGAACTTTGATATTGTCTTTTTGAACCTGGGCAATAAATGAAGTAGTATATTGCTCCACAGCACTGCTCTGTGCTGTGGAGCAATTGTTCCCGTTGAAAGAAGCTTTAGCTCGTATTGGAGCCGGGTGGTGGAGAAACATGAAGAGTGTCTGAGTGAATGGCTTGCTAAGAAGGCTGGTCTATGTGATGTTGCTGCTGTTGGCTGCGTGTGGCGCACAGGGACCTGAGGGTCAGTTCATGTTGGGCTCTCACTGAAGGCACGGCTGGTTAAGCTTAGTGACCTGTAATATGGTATGATCAGCTATGTGGACCTGGATTTTGCAGTTGAATATTGTTTTTGAGTGTAAAGTTCTGGGTTCTTAATTAACAGGTCCCCATAGGGGCCACGAGGTCAGATATGATTTCATAATACAGAGTGCAAGTAGACACAAAGTAGTAATAATACAATCTTGTAAGTTCTAAAATTTATATTTAAACTCAACAAGCAAACACAGCCGGTTGAGCCGTTAGCAAAGTAGACTGTTGTTGAAATGCATCACCAGCTCTGTTTACCGCATCAAGTCTCTGACTGCTGCTCCTGAACAGCTCCAGAGCTATAAAGCTTGTTGTGTAACTATGACAACCATGACTTAGTTGTTTAAGTTGAAAAATGACGGCGATTTTGATCATTATAATGCTGTTTGTCACACTGTACCTTTTTAAATTGGAGCCGCTGCGATTTGGATATTGCACTTGCTGATTTTGCTAATATTGTGATTAATTGTGCAGCCCTACTTCTTTCTTCTGTTTTCGTGTATTTGAAAACAAAATATAAAACGTAGCTAACGTCAAAGTCCCAGAATCTTCAAATTTGGTGAAACCTTCTTAAAAATGCAAAAAAATCAACGATGACGAGCTAAATCTTGCGGCCCAGTATCAAACTGTGTTCCAGTGCAACAGATGCTGCAGGGAACGTTTATGACCGGGGTTTTAAATATGAGCAGCTAGTCCAGAGTGTTCCCCACGAGCTGTGTGTAGAGCTGTTTAATATGCCCTTCCCTTTCCATGAATTTGTAGTGTACCACCATCTGCACTGGTTGCGCTAAGAGGCTGCTTGCCACCCTGCACTCAGAATTATTGATAGTCCCTGCCCATATGCAGCTCACTATACTGTACTGTGCTGAGCAGGGCTGTTTAGCAGGCATAGCAGTCTGTGTGCTCTACCAGGTGGCTGTTGGGAGCGATGCACTTACAGGGACTGATGGTAATTGTATAGGTGCCACTTTTGGCCGGGCTGTGCCGCCGCAGCCCTCTGCAGTTGTTGTGTTGAGGGTGCTTGGAGCCACTGATGGCCACTCTCTGGTACTGAGTTCTTCTGTCTGTACTCTTCTGTGCACCACGGTGCGGTTTAGTCAAGTGTTGCAGTGGCTGTTGCGGGGCGCGTGATGCTGTGGTCAGAGCCATTAGCCTTGTGTGTTTGTTGCTCTGAAAACGAGTGTAATGAGTTGAAAGTGCTTATTGTTTGTCCAGCCCAGGACGCAGACAGGCACGCTTCTGGTTTTTTGAGTAGCCATCAGTGGGAAGCAAAACCCTTTTTCTTACTTGAAGCCCCAAACAGGTGTGTGCTTTTAAGGATGTTTGGGAGAACATCTGTAAAGCATAATGACAACTATGACAGTTGTGGCAGGATAAAGCAATCAAGGAAAATGAGTAGTTTGATTACAGAGGATGATGTCTCACCTTCATGTACCAGCGGATAGTGGAGACCGGTTAAAGGCTCAGCGTGTTGTGCTCAAGGCACTCCTTAGTTGATGGAAAGCCCTTGATTTACAAAAGCATCCTGGCTACAACCAGCCATTGATGAGCCATAGCAGTGATCAGCCTATTTACAGCTGTGTGTGCCTGTGCCCTGCGGAGCCGTCTGGCAGGCCTTGGCGTCTGCACCAGAACTGTGTCTCTCGAGGGAAGCCAGAGGGGCTCTTAATTGCAGTCCTGGTTACTGTAGCCCGCTGCCAGTAGATGGGAAGAACAGTTAATCCATGCTATTGTTTGGACTGGGCCAGGAAAGGATGAGAGGGAGGCAGGATGCAGCCATTACACAGTCCTGTGTTGACACAGGCTGGCTTGCTTTGATTAGAACTCATTCATCTGGGTTCCTACCTCTGGGCCAAAGACCAGCTTCCTCATTATCTGTAGCATTTTCCTGCCCAAACAAAATGTTGTAATTGTTTCTTCCAGAGGTGGTACCTGGGTAGATGTGTTGTCTTGAATCCTATTGGTGAGCTCAGAATGAAACACTTTGTATCATATTCATAATGTCAGTAGACTAAGCAAGACTTAATGAGGATGTGTACACACATGTTCTATACATCCAGGTTGCTGCATGGAGAACCCTTCATATCTTGGTTTGTTCTGGTTGGCCTGTTTCATAAATCACTGGTGCTTTTGACTCTACAGATGTGTTAAATGGCCGAGGTCACAGAAAGCCTTCAGTAACCCAGCTGGCTTTTGTTTCATTACCCTCAGAGTATCCAATAGAAACAAATGGGATGGAGTATAGCACTTATATAAATGTTATCTGCTTTAGCTTCAATATTTACTCTTGTATTTCTATACCTGGAAATCTGTCTTATCTCTCGATTTAGTTTTTGTTTCTATTGAGCAGCAGCACTGTGTTAAAAGTGAACAGTACTAATACAGAGCTGGCAGTTCATTATGAAGAGCTGTGTCCTACAGTCAGGCGAGGACTTCCTCTTTTTTCACTTGGATTTCGACTATACACATAGAGCAATATTCAAATTCCCGTCATAGGTTAGATTGTGAATGCAGCACATTAACCGTCTACACCGTACACCTGCCTTTATTCATCTTTGATCTGCCTTTTTCTCTGTGCCTCAGGCATTTTGTAATGGTCAGGATGGAAACGTGATGTAGACAAATATACAAACTCTAGTGCAGCAAATTCATAAAATAAAACTATTTTCACATCCTGGTTGGCAGTTGTTTTCAGAAGACAATCTAAAAATAGATGTCATTCATTCATTTAGTTTACCCCTTTAAACCCTGCACTCTATATACATATAGTGGGCCTCATTCTCTTAAATATCTCTTAATATTCTGTAAAGAGAAAATATAAGTCAACATCAGATGCAAGAAACATTCTAAATGTTTGTTAACGATAGATAGATATAAAATGTAGTGTGTGTATATAATATCAATAGAAAAATAAGCACTAAATAACAGTGGACCAATAGTATCTCTTTATCCCATATCGCAAAACTTTCTCTTGCCTAAGAGCAAAAATAAGAAAACATCGTTGAATCCCAAAAATCAATGGGTACTAGCTAAATAAAAACAAATCATTGATACAAACGCAACATTTGATCATAATTGCTTCTTGCACGAAGCCCACTGTCTCAAAAACGTCTCTTCTTACTCTTGGACCCTGCTGTACGGTTCTCCTCATCAGTTATCAGTCTTTTCACCCTGATGGAGGCTAAGCGTGTCTATATGCATCAGAGTTGTACCTGTCATACCAAAGATACTTTAAAAAGTATCTCAGGAATGGGGACTCAAGTCCTTAGTGTTGTTTGTTAACACTGTTTTTAGAGAGTATATAATAGACAGCCGTCTTCTGTGTAGCTTTCCAAAAATATGAACAAAATGAAAAGTGATGGCAGCTCTGCAGTTGGATCTGTGATGTTGCTCTCCCTTATGTTTGACAGCCTGCTTCACAGGACTGTCTGGATAATAATATAGTTGTGTTGCTGCGACTGCCTTCATTGATCATAATGGAAGTGTTTAGTATTATCTATTACTAAATGGATGATCCAGTCTTAATGAAGTGTCTGAGGAACGATGGGACTATATAGCCTGTTAAACTGCCAAGGTCTGTGTGTGTGTGTGTGTCCCCCACTTAGAGGTGACACTCGGGAGGGGAAGCTGAAT